ATTTTATGCATCGTTAAGGTTTGTATTATAATGGTTATCGCGGTGAACGATTAGCGAAGCACGGTACTACAATGTCCTCTACTTGATTTTGGCAGAATACGACGTACAACTTACGGCACTTGAACGTGTATAAATCCACGGCCGTTAAACCAGAAGATGGAAGAAGCAAGGGAAATGGTTACTGGATAAAAATCGAAAACGTACAGAAAAAAGATGGGTACTTATACGATCACTAAATCGGATCACGTAATTCACATATACAATATCCGATCGACAATAAAGAACCAGGTAGTAAGTTAATAATAATCTATTTAACACAATACAAACAACCTGTAGAACTCATCAGTAGAAAAGGATTCAAATATTATTAGTTTATCAGCGCTTCAGAATTCTGAGTGCCTATTTCAACTTGTTCATAAGTCATTTTGAGTCCACTGTCTCATGACATTAGTTTTCCTTTATTGTTGTTTTCGACTAGTTGGTCAGTGTCTTAAATTTGTTATCACTGCATGGGTACTTTCATAAGTGCTCACAACAATCAACAGATACATATACTTTCAATCGGCTGCTTTTTGTAGAATGTGCATTCACTAGGCATAGGTACTCATCAGACAAAATATAGACATATTATCGATTAACTAACTACAGTATAAGTATGTCTGACCAGTCATTCTCAATGTGATGAGATAGTAACACCATAATTCTAACTTAAACATACAAGCGGATACATTTAAGCCGTAGAACGTATAGTTGAAAATGAAACGAGGCAACTAGTTATTTTACTTCGTTCTTTCACGCCCATATCGTGCAGTCGCAAAGGGTACCCAAACCAAGACATGGAATCAGTTCATGACACCACTCACTGGTTGTTTTTAAACTATCCAGTTGGAGTCCACGATGACTGAAAATCTTGGGTAACATGAATCAAAATCGACCACTTACCCGGACATACACACTACTATATATTGCTTATGTTCAGAATTCAATCATATTCTCTGCCTTATCTTTTTCTACCATCATAGACCACCATTTTACTAGTACTTTATGTAATTTATTCATTTCATCTCTTTTTACTGTGTTGGTTGTAACAAGTGGAATCAACGTACATTGATGCCGTAGCAGCAGCTCACGTACGATTGAGTTTGTTTATATTTGAATTGGTTAAGCCCTTTTGTTCGCTTATTTAACGGATAGAGTCACTCGTACAGTAACAACCTATCTGTGCTATTGTACCTTTATTATTGTTGCACTTTTATGAATGTGTATGGTTGAGCATTGCTTACTGTCTACGCATATATTCATTCTGCCAGCCTTTCTATTAGTCGCTTAAGTGATTCGATGTTTCATTCATTTCCACACTCGTTCATGGACTTGATCATCCTCTCGCTCACTTGCTTGCTTTTCGGCACTTCTCTATCATTCTTGCTTAACGTACCTGCAGTTTTAGATATCTGTGTGTGTTTCAACGATAAACGCAATCAACACTTTGTATTCACCTTCTGATTTATGCACCGTTGGGGTGTTATCTAGTAACGGTTATTAAAGTGAACAGTACACGAAGTTTAAGGATAATATCGAATACCGACCAAAACGCCGTGTCTGTCCCACGTCATATTTGATTAATTAACAATGTTTTCTTTCAAATCAAAGATGACTGATATTGATTAATTATCTTCTTTTTTACTACAATGGTAATTTGTTAGAGAATTCCAAACGGAAAAAGAAAGAATGGTTTATGTTCTAAAATAATATTTACAATGTTGGCATCAATCTATGCCGAGAACTGGAGGCAGACATGAGAATAATGAACAAAAATTGGATAGAAGTAGAATAGAAGGTCCAAGACAGAGTGGGTTGGTGAATACTGGTCAGCAGTCTATACTCCATTGGGCGTAACAGGCGTAAGTAAGTAAGCAAGTAACAGTTCATAATGAAATTTTCAAAATTGAACCGGCTAAATAATCTTCAATCTCTTGTTAGGCCTATTCTCGAATGTCGTTTTAATTATAATAAATTTCTATGAAAAATATTTACATTTCAAAAATTAAATTTCTTTTCAATGGGAAGAACAATCAGAAGGGGTTTTGTGGAAATTGATTATTTTCATAGTTGAAAGCATGAGTCAATTGAAGCTAGACCACTAAGGAAAACCTGTAAGCATTGAACGGCCGTTTCGTCCTATTGTGGGTTTGAATCTCGCGAGGCGAAATATTGGATATGCACTACTGAGGAGTCCCATAATGATACAAAATGGTCGTTCAGTGCTTCAGGGGTTTTCCTCGATGATCTAGCTTCAATTGATTCATGCTTTCAACTATGAAAAAGAAGAATATATTTGCAAAATCTCAACGAATGAATCTGAAGTGACTTCAACTTTTCGCCCTAGCAATCTGATCAATGCTTGTTCCTTGGAATTACTTCAAATTCAGTCGTCGTTAAGATTTTACAAATACATTCTTCTCCTTCTTATTTGATGTCTTTCATCAATTCGTCACCGTAATAGTGTGAAACTATTCGATTTAATTTAGATGACAGTTCGTATATCAATTTCTTTTCTTTCAATAATAGATGTAGAATATCAATATCATATCTTTTATTAATTTCATATATACTACTTAAATCATAACTGGTCCACAGTATTGATTCCTATTTACCGGATTTGTATTGACAGTACAGACTCCTTGTGGAATATTACTGGTGATATTATCATTATCATAATGAGCTAATACTCTCCTTCCATTTAGATTATGATGAAATTGTGGTGATAAAAATCTTTTCGACAGTAATGTTGATTCACATATGAATTGTGGATGATATGAAGGGTAATTTTGATGAATCGATGTTATATTGATTGGATTAGTTACATTCATTGAATGATTATTACTGTCTGATAAATTTTGAATTAAATTTGATGATGGTTCATTATTAGGCGCTATTGTTGTTGTTGTTGCATATCTCATAAGGAGTTGACGACGTTTTCTTTATGAATAACAACATATAATGAAGATACAGATTAATGCAATCATTAAGATTGTAGTACATATTATAGGGACCAATAAACGTGAACCAGAAATGAAACAAGAAATAATCAAATGTTTCTATACTTGCTGTTGGGATGATCCTGCAAATTTCTTACAATAGACATGACAAGCTCAAAGTAACATTAAGAAGCATTTTATCTAATCAGCGTTCGATCATAACTATAGTTTATTCTAGAAGATTCAAGCCACGTACAGTCAAAGTGACGGTAGCTGTTAACAGAATTGGCTCCCATAATCGTAGGAATTATGTTTCCCTCAACAATAATGGGTATGGTGCCCGCTTACAGCTAGACACAACCTCCGATATAACACTTATAAGCAGATGAACGTGGGAGAAAATTGGGAGACCAAGAATATATAGTCAACTCATCAATCAGCTCATGGTGCATCATGGGGAATTTTAAATATTGCTGGTCAGATTCAGTGTGAAATCACAGTCAAAGAGGTCACGGAGAAGGGAGTAATATTTCTAACAGAGCGTCCATCACTCAACAAAACTTATCATCTGAATTTTATTTACTATTATGAAAGAGAGAGGGAGGAATATGTGGTCATTCGCGATCTTAAATATTAATAGTTTTTTGAATCTACCGCCGGAAATGGAATCGATCTACTACATGTGAGCACATCTTAATACACTACAATAATAAAATGTTGGGATTGAAACTCTTCTTAAATCTCAGCAATATTCAAGTACGATTCATTCATACTGATAATCACATTCTTTTAAGAACAGACATGTCGTGTGGATTTAAGAATACATACTTAAAGTTTTTTGTTATGTAGGATTTTTTTAAACAAGGCTATCGGTTGACACAGTGAGTCCCATGAGATCCATTTTGAAGGTTTCGTGCGTGAAAATCCCTCCATGCATACACTTGCAAATTGTTCTTAATGGTTTCCCTAGTTGTTCATTATTGTTGACCGTTTTGATGCCATTTGAGATTGTAATGTTTCATTTCATAACAATTTTAGCATTTTCTCTTTCGCTCTCACTGAGTTTATTGTATCTTGGTGGCAGCCATATTGATCGTTCTCTCTTTTATTGTTGTGGCTGGATTTGACCGGGATCGTACATTTCGGTTGTGAATTGAAGCACATTCCCAGAATCGGAAACAATTGATTTATCCAAGAAGGATAGAATAATACTTATTTTTGGTGCTTTCAGCAATTCTCTTATATTTCTTATCAATCTATCTGTTTATTGTTATTTAGATTGATTATTGTGGCAACAATTATTGGTTGAATAACTGAATGGTAATATTTGTTTAGGTGAAGTCATATATTTGTATTTATGATAGAATTTAGAACCGCTGTTACCCCAATCACCTTGTTCTGACTTCGATTGGCAGACACGCGTTTCTTCTCTTACCAGACAGTTATTCTTCAGCCAAACCTAGTTTGGAACTTATAAGTCCATCTAGGGGAGTTAGGAAACCCTGATTCCAAACCAATGGTGCACATGGGCTCCAGGATCCTGAGGGAACAAATAGTGTATGAGCTAATCGTTGGTCACCGGCTACTATTGGAAGGCACTTCTTCACGATGCCCCACTGTCTGCTTGATCATACCTTCAGGTGAAAGGCTCTGGGTGTGGCTTCCTAAGAAAACCACATGCTTTATTTTGGGCACCCGGACAATATCATAGACCTCACACAATTGTGTGGCGCATTTATATACGATGCCTTTGTACCAATATGTATGTGTTCAAATAAAATATAAAATAAACTAACAAGGCTACTTTCAAATATCTGAATTGTTGTCACGTTAATCTCATATAGTGAATCGTCGTCGTTTTCGTTATGTCCTAATAATTGGTAAAACTCAGTAAACTTATATTATGTACTGCATGACTCTTATTCGTTATAAACTGAAGATCAATTTGCCCATTACCATAAACCTAACTTCAACCTCGTGTTTTCACTACTCCGAAAGTGATTACTCAAAGACATCTATACAACATTCAAAACGTTACAACCTATTGGTGTTCTCCACCTTCAAATGGCATATTTCATAGTCATAATACAGTACATAGTAAACTATCGCAATAATAAGTAAACGGGCAACTGATATGCATCCCAAGGATGCAGAGCAAAAGAATTGAAATATTATGAAAAATGAATATCTTAAAATAGTGAGTGTTACTTTTTTGTTTACAAATATTTACACTTACCAAAATCATTTTCATTTACAACTACTGTACCCTCCTCTTCCTCCTCCTCCTCCTCCTCCTCCTCCTCCTCCTCCTCCTCCTCATCATCATCATCATCATCATCATCATCATCATCATCATCATCATCATCATCATCATCATCATCATCATCATCATCATCATCATCATCATCATCATCATCATCATCATCATCATCATGGTTACTGTCATTATTGGCATATTCATTATTATTTTCACTTCCATTATTGGATAATTTCAAATTGTCTTTACGTAATTTTAAATTAGTTGATGCAGCTAAATAAGCTTCTTTAGATAAATTTCTAACTGATTCATGAATAAATGAATACCATCTGAACCAATTCGGATTTGATCATTCAATGAACTGAGTGTTACCTTTTCCCATAGGGAGTGAGAAAAGAATAGATATGAAAGTTATCAGATAGTATATTATTCAACAATTTATAACGATATTACATGCAACGATTAGGGTAAATAAAACTTGATTGAATAGTACTGTTCAATTGATAGTTTGGTTCACTGAACTGATCTGAAATTCGTAAATAGTTCAACTATTCAACCAAAACATTGCAATTATCAGTTTATTCTTGTCACTTGATAAAGCGATGGAGTAGGGGCATTTACTCTTTGTGTTCTGCCAAATTCTTATCTTCTCAATTCTTCATGTCTCTATCTTTTTTTCACTTTCCAAATTTATTTCACTACAATATACTCATTGGATAACATCTTCAAACCCTAATCTTTCCGATTACTGCTTATACTCTTACTACTTCGACCACTATGGGATTTAAATCGACAACTGCATCTCTGTGTTAATGTGGTATGGCAACTCAAACTGATGTACGTACTTATGAAGTTCTACGTTGTAATTGACTGACTGGCTCTTGTCGCTTAATAAAAGGTGATCAAGGTTTCAGATCATTTTTTCATCCTAGAACATCATGATTGGCGTGTATGTTGTTATACAACTGAAATCAGACGTTTTCCTACCACTGACAATCTCGTGGACCTTTAACATGAAAGTTCAGTCCGTCAGACAACGCAAAAGCAACAGGGAATACAATTCCCTGGTAGCTAATAACCAGATTGAGTTCCTGCAATATTTATTTCTTCGGGACTGCATAGTTTATTTACATTCCTTTGAATAATAAACCGTCCGTATCAACTGTCATGGTTCAAAGGTAAGCCAGTAACTCCAGAAGAGATACAGGACGAGTTTCAAAGGTAAGACTGCTGACACAAAACTTGACCTACAGCAATGCAACAAATATAAGAAATCATATACTGTCAAATCACCCAAGGGAGTTGAATTTTGATGAAACCGTTGATATTTTGAACAAGAGTCATCATTCTATGTTCGTTTCAAATGCCTCCAATTAACCAAGCATGTTGGTGAAGATTATCCGACGTACGTAAGCAGGAATAATCCACAAGCTCAACGCTTTAAATTAAATGGATTATCAAATGACCAGTTTAAATCTACATCATTTGTTTCTAGACTACAACTACCCACAGATGCCAAAGTGTAAACACGATTACTATTCTGCTTTGAAGATAATGAAATCATATTAAAGATGATTGCTACAAAGTGTCAACGCCTGGTAAACTTAAAATATGACACTGCAATGATTGAAACTAGAGGAGAAACCTCAATAAACTTTATTATTCATTCTGTCAAATCGTGCAGACAAAATAATGTTACTGTCAGACAACAACGCCAAGCGCAATTAAAGAAACCTTTTACAAGATTTTGGTTTTGTGGTGAATAACATCTCGCCAAAACTTCTCGTTGTATAAATCACTGATCAAATGGTTGGTGTAAAGTCGGTCATAAAGAGATTATAGTTTAATTTATAAGGTTAGATTTAAAATCCAAACCACGGGTGAAGTCTTCCTGGTGTCACAGGAAGTAGATTTGCAATGTACATATTCAACATTTACATGCAATTGAACTAACAATAGAAGTCACCTTGATTTATTACTGAATGACGTTCATATTTGTCTACAACTAGACATAGAATCCGATATCACACTCATTTCTGGAAAAATGTACAAACTGACAAACCATCCAGCTCAGAGGGCAAAACTCCATCAAAAGCATTCACCTAAGCTACAAATCTACTCCACTATCTCAAATACCTATTTGAACACGGTATGTACATTAAACGACTCCTACATTGATATTAACTCATCTGTGCAAACTGTAACATTCAAAGCTAAAGTTTTTTAGAACGGCGGATCTTTCTGAGAAACATTCAAGTGTATCTCAGAACACGTTGGGTTGTTTTACTACTGAGAGTGAAACCAGTATTCCGTCCTGAATGAAAAGTGTCATACGCCTCCACTGATAAAGTTCATAAAGAACTCGAGTGGTTAGAAAAACTCGGAGATATACAACGAACTACTTTCTCACCATGGACATCTGTTGTTGTAGTTAAAAAGCCGATGGGACCAACGGCCTATGTGCCGACTACTCTACTGGACTGTTCCGTGCTTATGATTGTAAAATGCAGTATAAATCCATGATAAACTTCAGTTAAGAGGATTCTATATTAAGACTGAGTGCAAAACCGAAGTTCAGAAACGAAGATCATGTCATTGTCACTGTATGTGTGGGAAGCAGATATTAACCAGATATTACAAATTTCAGTACAAGCAACACTTTTATCAGAATGTCAGTCATCTACGACGTAGGACCAGGCGCATATATGAATCGGTCCAAGTTGTCATACCTCAGTGACACAACATCACGAACACCGGATTTATAGAAGTAGTTAATTTAGTGGTGTTAATATATAAAAGAAAGATTGTATATAAGGATATAGTACAGGAAGAAAGACAGATATGAAGGCATTTTAATCTCAAGGTTTAGGGGAAGATGAACAGTATATACACCTACGTCATTGTGATCGATTTTGAGCCATTTCACCTAGAGTATCCAACCATTAGTTACGATGGTCACTCGGACTCCAACCAGGTAGTCTGTATCTACCAACGTGGCTCAGACAAGACTTCGAGCTGTGATGCCACGTTTTGGTTTAGCCGCACCTAATTCTCTTCCAACTATCGCCATTACTATTCAGCATTGCAGGTAATCGGTGCTCAGGCATACGCAACACGTGGCCTAACCATCTCCGTCGATGAAGATTCATGACCTCATCAACTGATTTATCATCGTTTCCTAATACCCTGTGTCTAACCTCACTATTACTTACCCAGTGATACCAGCAGATGCGAGCAATATTTCTAAGGCATCTGTGGTCGAATACTAGTAACTTACGAGTATCTTTTACTCTTAACGGTCATGTTTCACAGCCGTAAAGTAGAGCAGAGCGAACTCTTGCTCAGTATACTCGTCCCTTAATTGATAGACGGATATCTCGTCTTCACCATAGGTGACGTAAGTTGGCGAAAGCCAACCATCTCAGTCGATGGAGATTCATGACCTCATCAACTGCTTTACCATCATTCCCTTAATACCCTGGTGTCTAACCTCACTATTACTTACCCGATGATCCCAGCAGATGTAAGCAATATTATTATTATTGTCATATTAGTCTATGTGATAGATGTTATGCGAATCTACTGTACCATTGAATTGTTTTGCGATATAAATTCTTCATGGAATTATGTTAGGCCATTGTAGTTATGCGCTCACTAATGAAAAGCTTCAAGATGGGTCATAGAGTTCAGCAATGTCATATGCTCCACTGTTATTCATTGATAGAATCGGATATTTATTCTACTTCATTTAAAAGTGATTCTGTTTAAAAATGGAAACCATTAGAGTTCAGTTTTGATTACTTAACATAACGAGTTTCACTTGAATAATGTTAGAACGATCGATCCCAAACAAGCAGAATACAATCCAGTGCCTAAAGTATTCAATCAATTTTCACTTTAAACTTTTACTTTGAAAAGTTTCTTTAAGTTACTTTATCATTACAACTATTAAATAGGAACATTTTTAGGTTACAGTGATTGAATTAGAAATTATGACGAGACTATATAATTTATGGACGAGCCAATCAGAAGCGTTTGAAGGATTTCAAGATCACAGCGCCTATTTCAGTACCTGATGCTTATGTACAATCGGTTCACAAAGGATTTTAAAGAAAATGTGACAATTAAGCGGCTGAAATAAATAAAACTACTAAGAAGTTCTTGTATTTGTATTTGTGGTAATTAAATGACATTTAGCCCGTGTGCAGACTACTGTGATGTTGTCCTTCGATGTAATATATGTTGAAGGAAGACGTTTGCTACGATAGGAACCCTTATCGCTCGATCCAGATTGCAACTAGGGCATATTATAATAATTGCCACCGACTGCATAATAAAAGCACCAGTAACATTGGCTGCAATAATCGCAGATGTTACTGAAGCTTCGGCTGTTCAGTGGTATGAGTAGTGTAGGAACATATCCATAATAAAAACAATAAACTTACACAACGTGAGTGCACGAAAACAATAATGAAGCTATGTGGTGGAGGCTGAGAGGGTTTTTCCGACCTTATCATGGCTCCAGAGACCAACTATTATGGAGCGATATGGAGGAGTTCCTTTACCTTATGCATTACGATTTTGGAACCCTTGAACCTATTCCTAACCTTGACGACCATATAAAAGACCATATAAAAGAAGTGTAATCACTTTAATTATTTGGTTTTGTATAATAAATTTTTACTCTGTACTGACTGTTTACTGATTAGCTAACATTTCTTAAGGTTATTTAAGGTTCGTTCAAAGGTCGTCCATAAATTTTAGTCTCGCCGAAATTATTAGACGATAAGATCGCCAGATCATATTTATCATTTAGGGTGATAAACTTTAAGCGGAAATCGATATAATAGTTCCATTTGAAACTTGATGTGTGAATTTCATCCATATTTCTTTTAGAAAGTAAGATGTTTATGGTTAAATTGCCTGATATGTGAATGGTACTGGAATCGGTAATACAAACTAAAAGTTTTTAAGTGTATTGTACTGACTGATATAAGTAGTAACGAAAACACAGACTGAACTGAACTACAAAACGATGGAAATAAGAATAAAGAAAGGGAGGATTCTCCTGAGTTGTTTACACCGTAAAACTGCAGTGTTAATTAAATTTACTTAGTATTACTTGTTTGAATCTTCTCATTGATGTTTAGGACTGCAACTGGTCAGTCTCTAGTTGGCATATGTGCATACTGTGCGTATTGCCTCGATATAGCCCTAATTCACAAGCATTGTAAGCAAAGATGGATAGTGGCTGGCAGTGGAATCCAGGATGCGCGTTTCGTTCTATTTGGGACTCATCAGCGAAAGTGAACATCAACGCTGAGATGCAGGTACATCCAGCTGACGAGTCCTAAATAGGACGAAACGTGCGTCCTGAATTCC